AGAAATAATTTCTTCACCTTAATCAAAATTTTATTTGATCAAGACTGGAATTTCTAAGAGAATTCACATCTTTTTCTTCAAATTTGGCAAATGTTTTAATAGAAACAAATGAAAATTTTGTAGATTCAAAGAAACGTGATTTCAACGAATTTCATCATTTGTTTAACTTAACCAAATATTTTTCCTATAATCCAAACTTGATTAATGTTACCTAGATTTACGGTAAAATAGTTTCAACTAAACGCATAGGTTGTTATGACGATATAAATTGGTTAAAGTTAAAACGTGCAGAATTTAGTTGGCTCAGCTAATGCAAAATTTACTTTCTTTGTCAAAATGTTCATCATCATTGCCAAATGCTTTGCTGTTATTATCAAATTCAGTAATAATGACCAAATTTTTCAGAAAATATATTACTCCGTGCATATCACAAGTTTACCTAGAATTTGTATCACCTTTATATGTGCAATATGATACAACATCTCTCATTTTACGCGTAATTCGTATATCGCAATCGAAATGATATAATTATCTCAATGGTACAAATATCAACTTGATATAATTATCTCCGTCAAAAAAGGATTTAAATTGAAAGGTTACATACCTAAATTGCAATTAATCAAGCAACTATAAATAAATAATTCTCTGTGACTTCACGCTTATGCTTCGTTATCATCGCGATGTGATGAGTCTCTTTTCATCAATTTATGCGCTCATATCAAAGCGGCCTAATAATAATATGTCAGTAACTAGCTTACATTACAGCATACACATGCTCCACGGCAATAACCGCATTAATAATGCCACCCTTGTCGATAATAATCGCGAAATCACGTACCTTGGCAATATCGCGCCGATCGATTTCGGTTATTCGCGGGAGATAATACAGAACAATAACGGGGAATGACATATTCGCCATTTCCTCATTCATCGTAAAACCGCATCAGCAATGACCCTCCTCTTCGAAGAAATCGATAAAGTCTTTGTGCGTACTTTATTTAGATAAGAGACGGTTCATAATTAGCAGCGTATCGATAACGCTATCATATTTTAATTTCGGACGATGTGAGTAACGCGCAGAATCTCAAGTGCCTGATTAGCTGAAAAAGATTAAAGCGACTTCTGCATTGTTATTGAAAACTCCAACGTAAATTGATCGATAGCCGCAAATTAATAAAAAGCACGTGAAACTTTGCGTCATTTCGTCATTGACATTAATCGTCCGCTGACCTCGGGATAATATAACTTTGGCGAACCGCATCTAAGAACATCGCGCGATCGGGAAAGTGTCGTGGCGATGACAAATTAACGTGCGAATCACGACATTCTCCGGCGAATGCATATTTAAACAAGTTAAAGCGTGCGCGTGCAAATCGACGTAAGTCGATCAGCAACGGCCGCTGCGAAGTTTCGCGGCAATTACGCGCGTAAATAGCATTATCGGATGCTAACTGGCTAAGTTTTAACTTGGTTTAACGTAGGGAAGTAAGCGTCTTCTTGTTGCTCCCCAAGCTGCTTTTTAAACTCTTCTTAATCTCCGGAGAATTCTCCTCGAATAAAGTGAGAATGTTAAATGTACATACTAACGCAGTAGATTTTCCCGACGGGGGAGGATAAAAGAGTCAAGAAACCGTTCAACTGTACGCGACTTCACGATGGCAGATGGTGTTGTTACATCGGTAAATGGCATAAATCAAGCGATCATTATTCGAAGCCGCATGGCCGCAGCGGCCCGCGAATCCGCCTTCGATTCGACATGCCCTGTTTCCCCGCTTCTTCTTTTTCATTACTCGTTTCTATGCCATTTTTTTTATACTTCCGCCGCGAGTTCGTCGCAACAAACGTGTGATCTCCGCGCGTGGCCTATTGTCTGAACGCTATGCACGCGCCAGGAGGCGTTTCCGGCTTCGCGTATCACCGCATTGGCGCATATGCAATGAATTTTATGGGAGTCACGTTTATCGTTTTCGTCCCGCAAAAAGAAATAGTATCTCCGCGGCGCTAACAGTTGTGCTCGTAAATTAAAGACAAGAAAAGTCTGCTCTGAAAATAGAGGGAAGAGTAAAGACTCTCGATGAGGAAGACCGCGATACATCTTCCTCCAAATTTTCGATACCGTCGATTTAATTCGCAATTAATATTTAACGGAGTACCATAATGTAATGTAAATAAAAGAGACGTGTTCGGAACAATGCATATATAATTGCAATGTTAATATTTTCATTTCCCGAGAAACTCCAGAGGTGTTGGTTTTAACGATTTTGCTGTCAGTTAATTAAACAGTCTGCGAATTCAGCAAATTATCGAATTTAAAATTACTGCAAATTACTAAATGTAATTAATTTAAGTACACACTTATATGTACACGTCAAAATGTAATTACGCGGGGAATTTATATGGCTATTATGCGCATCGTTCTTTCACTAAAAAGGATTATTCCGCGGTCTCTCTGATCGCTGAATGAGAACTTCGAGAATTGAAGGCATTAAACTCTGAACCTTCTTAATGCGATGTCTTTGCAGTAGTATTACATTACGTTACATGCACGGTTAAACCTGCAGTACGACGTTATTAGATTGCCTTTACCGGAATCCAATGCGAGAAAGCGGAAACCGATATTACTGGCAACGCTAATACTGCCAATATACGTCGCTGGCATAAATTTGTCAATTCCGATGCGACGTGGAATAATTGTAATCGTGTAAGTGTAAGACGGAGTCTCGTGTTAATTTGACGGCTGCGATCGCGCGAGCGGGTCTATTATGAAATCCCTTAGGGTAAGGTGACCAAATTCGGATCAGGTTTTAAAAACCCTTCTCTCCATTGATAACCAGTTGCTTTCAGTGAAATTTGCTCTGCGTCAAAATGTTGTTAATCATGTCCTCTATAAAATTTTAAAAAGATAATTTCATCAGTTTACTCTGAAAAGCTGGCGACAAATTTAATCACTCTCCAAAAGTTAATCAGTAGATTATCATTGAAAACAGTGAATACTGATTGACAGTTATGTGAACCAAATGCGAGTCACAAATTTGACGAGTCGCTAATAAGCGACATGTTAAAGTGCTTCACTGAAATTTTACTCTTTTATATATTTACAACTTTATGCTATATCGTCGATATCATAAAAGGCTTGACGTGTTTTTATGTCGTTTATTAACGACTCATCAAATTTGTAATTCGCATGATATCGACGATGTAGCATAAAGTTGTAAATATATAAAAGAGCAAAATTTCAGTGAATTACTTTAACATGTCGCTTATTAGCGACTCATCAAATTTTTCATCCGCATTTGGTCTCTGATCCGAATGTCGTCACCTTACCCTATCCGCTTTCACGAATTTGCCCGATCGCGATCGCGCGACGAAGGCTGCGAGGTGCAAAGTTATAAAAAGAATAAAAATAAAAATATTGATTCACGCCACTTTCGCGTCCCCTTCGGTGACCGATCGCACGAGGGCATTTCATACGAGTTTTATGCGGCAACGCGCGGGCCGCTGGGCGTCACGCGGACACCGCCGCCGTTGTGGAACCGGATGCAACAGCCTGCCGCAGACTGACCGTCCGAGTGCGCTTCCGGTTGTAATCCGATCTGTGAGCCGTGAATTAATATTTCATCGCGGTCGCATCGCCTCGCGCCCTGCGCTTCTCTCCCTTTTAACGGGGCGCCTTCCTCATCGGCTGTCGCGCCCAACGTTTTATACTTGTTCGCTTTATTCACTTCCTTTTGTTGGACGTTTTCGCGCGTGAGATCGACGTCGTAAGGTTAACGATCCGTGCTCGCGGAAAATACTGCCATTCGAATTGCAGTCGGGGCACTTCCGACGGAGAAGAATCGCGGTGAAATTAACGGTTGCTCGCCCGCTTCAGCGTACAATGCAATGCATTAATGGTTCTGGTGCAAAACGCACTTATCACGCTTACTCTATAGGTCTCAGGGCGCTTACTACCGTTTCCCCGGCGGCTGCGTCCATTCTGCTGTTCGACAATTGATCCGACAACCTCCGTTGTTTTGTTCGATCATGCAATTCAGTCTCTCAAGTACCGCACAATCACGAGGAATTTTCAAGCTGTCATTAAAATTGTTAAAAATATTAATTAACGTAAGCATAAAGGGCTTAGGCTGTTGAATAACGAGCAGCTCGATTATTCTGCGAGCATTCCCCGTTAAGCCGCGTGTGTCCAACGAAAGTAATCCGAGTGAAAATGGTCCATGTTCAGGCAACCGCGGGGCAGCATTGGCGATCGCTACGTTTACATTTTCTCCGGAAACAAGGACGATTTCAAGTTTGTCCACGTAACCCCGCAACTTTTGTACGTGCCGGGGTCATGCCCATGAAAATGTCCTCGTGCTCTTATTCCCCGAGATGCCGCGAGGAATCTCCGGCGTCGCGAAGAACGAGCCCGCGCGGAGCGAGTCCCCCGGAAACCTGATGAGCGAAGTTCGATGACCTAAATATCGATGGCACAATACGTCTGCCGGCAAAGGCACAATGCGACTGCGATACGAAGACCCTCGTGACTCCGCAGCGACTCGAAATCAATACGGCGTATATCGATGATGTGTCAGTACGCAGACCAGACCGTCTTGCCTTACAATTGACTCCTGCGCCGAAGCCAAGTGGTCCAGGCGAGGAGGAGTCGAGACCGAGTTACAAAGGGCCGAGACCATCTCGCCGATCTCGGAATTGCCTGGGCGGAAAGACGAGAACGAAGACGTTGTAACTGCATTACACTGAGAGATACAGTTTGCGACATTTCGTCATTCGAACGTACCTGCGATATAGCGTCACGTAACTCGTACAGTTTACCAAATTAATAAAAAATTATTTATGAAACGACAATAAACGTTCGCTGACCGCGAGTGATCGCGATAACTCCGAGCCGGTTAGGGATTATTGAAAGTTCCACGAGATTCGTTAATCTGCAGCTTTTACGAGACATCTACGGTAATTCGAATGTGACAAGTTCTAATGGAAACCAATCTTTCTGTTAACAGAACGAAAACAGAGCCTTACGGCTGAAAGAGCCCGCGTCCCTGGCGCTTTCCGCCAGCGGAAATTCCGGCGGGTACATGGATCCAGACGGCACGGCCATTGTGATGTCATCCGAGCTTCTGCCAGCGCCGACCCCGGATCCGAGAGTGACGTGGAATTACTTTGACGAGCAGGGGTGAGTCCGGGCAGTGATCTTCCCTCGCTATTATTAGCTTTGCGAGCATCATTCACCTCGCGAGCGTCTTTTCGACGTCAGTCCGAACACTTTTAGACATTCCGGAAAGCATTCGCGGATGTAATATTGATTCAGCTGCAGCGAGACTTGCTCAGCCCGGAGTTGGAGAACATCGGCATTAATTATTTCGCGCGTTCGGCGCAAGTTATCTTCGGCACTCTTTTGCGGCGATCCATTAACTTTCCGCCGGCTAGAAACTCGCTAGAAACGTATCGCGCGTTTATTACTTGTTGCGTTACGTTGGAACGTTTCATTCTCTACGCCTATTCGTCGGTACTACTGTCCGTAATTATAGACGCGCCGTTATAATCGTTACGGGAGACGTCGTGTTTTACGGCGCGGTCCTTGTGACACGTGACGAATCCGCGCAAACCCGGATTCCGGGTTTGACGGGGGATTTCAGAAGAAATAACGAGAAATTCAGCGGCAATAATTTTCTTTGTGCAACAGGTACGTTTCAAGAGGTGGTCTACGTGCAGGCGAGGACCCATACGCGAGGAATAAATTCAATCAGGAAGCCTCTGACGGTCTTCCGAGCAATCGTGACATACCCGATACTCGTAGCGCCATGTAAGTAGCTTATTACGTAACGTTTGTCGATGTATCACGTTTGTTTCTTCGGTTGAACGCTGTCGGAATGTATCCTGCAAATGCTTTTTTTACACACGTAGATACGTTAAGCACAATTATACACATTAGGTGTATATAAATTACATATATTTATAGTATGACTTATACGGAATTTTCTTTCTTTTAAAATTTATCCTGAAAATTATGTGATCGTGGGACAACACGGTATTTCAAAGAATTTTGTGAGTTTTTTAAATTTTACCATATGTTTCACTAGTAATTATATTTACAATTTGTAGAGGAAAGTCCTCTATTATGAGATAGGTTCTGTTATGAGGCAGCAGGTTTTCAACACCCAAATTCAATCAAATCTTTTTTTGCAACGATTACACAACTTAACAATGAATTTTCCACTAAACGGATTTCGCTCCAAGGACAATAAATTCATGGTGGAATCAACTGATGATGCCTGTTAATTTAACAGAAACTCCGCTATCCCATATTAAAATCCTATCGCATAATAGGGGACTTTGCTCTATATATTTTACTAGTAAACTCGATGGTAAAATTTCACAAAACTCTCGTAAAGTTGTTCAACGTGCCACGTTGTCTCACGATCGCATGATTTTCGGGACAAATTTTAAAAGAAAATTCTCTCCATGTGTACACATCATTAACACATTTTGCATATAACCAGGGTTGGGAAGTAACTCGTTACTTGTAACGAAGTTACAGTTACAGTTACTTCTTTTTGGTAACTCTAACTTAACTTCGTTACTTTCTCTACATTTGTAACTGTAACTTAACTCAGTTACATTTTTTCGATAACTAGTAACTAATTTAATAGTTACATTAATAGTTACTTTATATATTTTTTCAACTTCCACAGATCGCATTAGGCCTTGCATTTGCGCATAAACGCCTTTATTGCCGCTTTATAATTCAGATGCAGATTCGATATTTTTATTTCTATTGCAAGGGAGTAACTGCAAAGTAACGATTCGTTACTTTTCGAGTAACTGTAACTGTAACGCGTTACTTTTCAGAATTGGTAACTTGTAACTGTAACTAGTTACATTGTTAGCGAAGAAACTGTAACTGTAACTAGTTACTTTTATAAAGTAACTTTCCCAACCCTGCATATAACATATACTAGTACGAAAGATTAATTTTAATATGCAAAATTGTACAGTATAAAATGTGTTTAATAATACGAACAAAAAAGGATGATCGGTGTACTGTGGCTAGTCTCTCACAACCCGTCGCAATATTTATTCGTCCCGTATCGTCCATTGACAAAAATGTCGAAGGCGGTTGCTCAGAGTTACGAAATTGCCTCGTGGAATAAATTCTCGATTCGCGTGTCCGTAAAAGTCGGCGGGACAAGTTCCTCGTTTTAAATAATGCATTGCCCCGTGACAATCGGTGAATACGATTTCCCGTCAGACAGTCCCCCCCAGCAGTCTCGGCGAGACAAGTACTTCGGGAGATGAGCGAAAAGACGGCGAGAAGAAATAAGAGGACGCAGAAATTGGCCTGTCGGTCGATCAGCCTGTTTATACGCCACTATTGGCAGCTACGTGATTCTCTCGGCGGATATTATTCCTCGCAAATGATCGGCAAGATCGCGGCGTACCGCTGGGAATTCATGCGGTATCATGACAAGCTGCCATACATTCAGACCGCCAAACAGCAGTTACTCCGCCGAAGAAGAGCGGCGAGATCTCGCAAATACTGAGTAGTAATATATTTCTCCCCGTATAAGTACAATAAGGTAGTTGTACGTAGTCATTTGCTGGAGAACTTTCGTCCAATTATCTTGAAAATTCATGACGAAAGATAATAAATTATATTCTCGTGGCAGTTTCTCATTACGAACTCCGCTCAAAAATATCTATTTCATTATAAACTTCATTTTTTAAACGTACCGAAGGAAGACTATGATATCCAAAAAATGCAAAAAAAGCCCGACCTAAATGCGTTAACTAGAAATTAAATGGACAAAAAGTAAAGAAGTTGAGGTGGTAACGTGGGTTACCACCATGCTTCAAAGGGTTAACGTGTGCATGATGAACGTAAAATACAAAGAATCCATTTCTGCGTATGCCACCGCGAATATCTCTGATAATTTTCTGCGAAGTGGATCCAGCATTAGTCTGTTTTACCTATCAGACACCGTGCTTTCATCAAATAAAGTAAACGCGCAGATACATTGAGAAATATTGAACATTTGAAAATTCCAAGTTTCGAACTTCATCATTTCATTGCGCACGTAGCTTGAATGCATACGAACACGTAAAGAGCGTGACGCTAAGAAATCTCTCGAACAGGCTCTCGAACATAAAACTAATTGGTAGCGCCTTTGCGCGATAGGATCGCAAAGTATACATATACCCGGCGCAATTCTTCTGATCCACCTAGGCGCAATCTATCCTTGTACGCTGTCTGACACAAGACTCGCACACACGTACGCGCGCATACACACGCGTCTTTTTATATCATGAAAAATTCAAAGGCGCCGTGAAGTTCCAATACATTCAGACCGTAAAGGAGTTTGAGTCGCTCCCAAGAAAAGCGATAAAGCCGCGATCATAAATTCCTACCGATACACATAGATCGTCGGTGCCGTTGTTACACGCCAAACGTGTTACAGCCGCCCTAAACGCGTCTATGTGTGAAGTCTCGCGTGAAACTATGTGTACATTTCCCGTGTTTACGGTCATTGTATGATGTTTGCAATGAATATAAATTATAGCCGTCGCGATATCTGCTGTTATATCTTGTCGCTGGAAATCATGCGAGGATCAACTGTTTGTCATGAAGATTAATCGGTTATATCTGTAATGTACGTGCTATGAAGGCGTATCGGTAATTAGTATCATGATGGTATTCGCAATAAATTGCGTTCCCATGTATGCATTATTTTCCCATTGGCGCATACGCTTTATTAAAATGTCATCAGTTAAGCGCAATGGGCATTATGGCATGTGATTCATATTTTTACGTACAGTATATTTCATAAAAAATGTAGAATATTTTACAAGATACGAAATAAGTATCGATGTACACATGCAATGTGCTGATAAGCACTGTGTTTTTTTAATTTACAATGATTAGTTTAACAAAAATTGCACGTTTTCTACTAGAAAAATTAAGACTCGTATCATGTTTTACATGTTGACCGCAGGGATTGTAGAACGCAGGAAAGCTCTTCCATCGCAAATATTATATTGCTGATACTCTTCCTTCGTATAAAGTTAGTTTTGTGTACATTACTTTAAAAAACATGTTGAAAAATGTCCCTGCGAATAGATAGAGAAATATTGCGGATCTGTACATATCGCGCTACGAGGTAAATCCCGCTTCAGGAAAATCGACGCAGGAACGTGCTTTGCAGCGCGCATTCTGTGCGAGATGAATTTTTGCGCCTCCTTGCTCGCACAGACAGACGTGACCTCGCGAAAATGCGGGAAGTCAAAGCCGGGCGAAGTTGCGCGTTTTAGATGAAAAAGAGATGGTGCTTTTTGCTAAGACGAAGGTCGTAGAAGGGTTCCGGACTCGATCCTAACGGTTAACCCGCAAGGAAGAAGCAGTGGGACGACGGGAATTGGGGAAGCAATAGAATTGAGTTTGCGAAGTTTTTTATGGGCGGTTCTCGCGCTTAATGGTATTGCCTGCTCTTGTTACCTTACGCGTCCAATATACCGCTAATAAAAACGTAGGCTGACTTGAGATACTCTCTTTCTCCCTCTCCCTCTCTCGTCGCTTTCATCGAGCGTGCAGAAGTACCATACTGTCCGCTCTAAATTTCAATCTCGGCACGGTTGACGATGACACAACGAAATTTGTCAGCAATCGTGTCGGGCCAAGGGAAAGGTTGACCGAAAGAGACTTACTCTGGGCAGTTTCGTCGCGAAAACCTTTTTGTTCGGATAAACTTTAGAATGATAGAATTTGCCTACAATATAATCGTGTATCCAGAATAATCGTAATTTAATATAATTATTTCGACGTCACGGAATATTACGCGGATCGGCATCTCTTGATCAGAGAAACCATAATACCTATAATCCAATCCCACAACTAATTAATTCATTATCGACGCAGCTAATATTGAATGTATCATAGTACACTTTGCAACATGCAATATTATGTTGTTGTTACACACACGATTAATATCCTCTCATTATATTGTTAAAATATTTTAGATGCTAATTTCCCCAATTCTCTGCATAGCCTATTTTTTAATTATCTCAGTATATTATTGTTTGCAAGTGAAAATAATTGTTTTCATACCTATTGTAGAACCTATGGTAGAACAAGATTTCCTTAAAAACAGTACGAGATTTGCAGTTTCTTAATGTGTGCTTTCTTTAAAAAAAAAAAAGAATTTTCACGTCAAGTGAAGTTTATCGTTAATTCAATATTGCAAAGTAGATGTTTTTAACGTGCACTTTGATATCAAACGATCAATAGCGTGTTTCCCAGGTCATCTCATCCTGAAACTTTATCCTTCTCTCGTCAAATCAAATTTTCTGCTTCTCTCCGTTCCGCGGCCGTTACACATGACTACGTCATGTTTCTTGCGAACGAACATGGTCAACGGTATCCACGAAGCCCTCCGAACGCGGAAGCCGTCCAACGCGAAGTCCCTTCATCGGAGGATATGACTTACAATTAGTATCGATATATTCGATTGTATCTCCTGGCTACGGGCGTTATGGCGCAAGATGCCATTAATTTTGCTTCAAAGCGAAAGGGGATTCGTATCAGTTTACGTCCGTTTGATTAATTCTGTATAACGTGCTGTCGGAGCGAATTCGGATCCGCGTGAGTTATCGGATACGATCCGTGACGTAAACTTCGTTTTCTCCCTGGCGCACGCCGCTGGTGCGCGCCGGGCAAGTAATCGCCTTGATTCCTGACGGAGCAACGCGGAGATTCTGTTAGTTGCGTTCGTGCATGACCTCATGAATCACGAGGGAATCAGCGAGAAGTCT